TCCTTTGAAGTTTTGGGGAGGGCAAGGGTTTTTAACAGAAGTTCCACAGCAGTGGGAAGTTAACTCTGAAAATTGCTGATATTCATTTTTCTCTTTCCTTAATGGAACCAAAAGTTTCATATCAGCATGTTTCATTAAGACCCCAAACAAATTGAAAGAATGTGCTATATCTCCAGGTCTATTATAGCTGCCATTCCAAACAAAATATGTATGACTTCTACGATTCACTAAGCACAAGTATGTAGTAATCTGCCCTTTAATGGCCTCTCAAAATGACAGACAGAATGGCTTTGTGAAGGTCAAGTCTGATTTAAATTGTTGATGAATTAGTAGCTAATTCTACGTGATTGAATATTAATACAGAACAGTGATAAGTAAGGCATTTTAAATCTTAATGAGCACTTTAATGAATAGGACAAAATGTTTTTCTTTTCAACTCACGTAAAAGTTTAAAGCTACTAACATAATGACAATTTGTTAATTTTTGATTCTGTATTTTCCTGTAAAAGTTCATGTGGTTAACATATAAAGGATATTGGGTTTTTCTTTTCTCAAGTTTCTGGTACCATACACTTGATGATCTGTCAAATTGATGTTATGAAATGGCCAAGGCAGTTTTATATAAATCACTAATAAATGTAGAGATGAAAAAAAAAAAAAACAACAATTAGCATCTTCTAAACTACGCCCACTGAGATAAGCATACCAATTAGAAATTTCATTATTTCTACCGTTCATTTTATGTTGAATACTGAGTTTTATTGCCAAATACCTGACAGTCAGATTGGAAACAAGCCACAACTGTCAACGTGTAACAGCTCTGGCTATGTAAATCTGTTACATTGTGATGTTTCTCATGAAAATTTAATGAAGAATGTGCATTCAAAGGAGTTCTGTGCAAAAGGGGGATGGATAGAATTTAATTACCCTTATTAAAAATAAGAAAGGCGCTCTCTTTACATTTTCTTTGTGATTAGTATGCAAGAATCATTATCTTTGTTGTGCACTTGTGTATATGGAAAGGGAGCTCTGGAGTGTTCCTTATGAGCCAAGAAGGAAAAGAAAGGTCATGCAAATGTTTTAGACTGCTTTCCATAGGGCACAAGTCAGTTTTGTCAGCGCTCCCCAAGGTGAGGTCTTCATTTCTTACAAATGATTATTATTCTAAATTTCTTTGGTAAGAGCCTTTAGTAAGTGGCTCAACAATCTCAAGTCTTTGACAGTTGCCACTGATGGGTATATAGAATATTGGCATGGTTTTCTAGAGAGACAAACTTGTTGAAGAACAGTAATGACGTAAAGCAGTGTTCATGCATGCTGTTGTAACTAGTAGTTAGATGCCAATGGAGGAACTCAGTGCCCTGGGAAAGACAGGAACAGCTCAGGAATCCCAAGATAATTGTTTTATTAACTGAAGTCAGTTGCTTTAAATATGGAAATTGACAATAACAAATTCTAAGAGCTTTTTTAGAAGCTCATTTCTAAGTAGTTAGGTAGGTAGTTGATTTACGGGCACTTGAGGTAAATTATTTTATCCTTTGAAGCATTCTGGACCAATGGCTGCCAAGTGAGATGTTTAATAACATAATGTGTGTAGTGCAGTGGCTTTTGAGCATTTTTCTTTCTTTTTTTTAATTTCCCCTAAGAACATTAAAACTAAGCTTTAGATTTACAAATACATTGACTAAAACTTTAAAGCCATTAAAAAAAAAAAAGCCAGATGAAATTCAAGTGTAATAGAGTATTAAAAGTATCATACCCTAATTTGCAAAATACTCTTTACCTGATTTGTAATTTTAAACTTTACTTGGAACCTTGAAAAATCATCTTGAAATTCCACTCTTAACCACTGTTTCTGGCACTTGTCCACTGTAGATGTGGGTTTGGCTGGCAGTATACAAGCATTCAAATAAACAGAAGGTATTGATGCTTCCTCAAAAGAGCCATGTCTTTCAACTTAAGTAAAATGTGTAATAGCTCATCATAGTTAACTCTTTTTTAGTCTCTGGCCATGGGACAGGAAAATATTCTCATGTGAATCCATGCGTCAAACCCAACTGCTTCAGCTACTTTTTTGGACTTTTCATAGATCACACTGTAGGAGAGCTAGAGTCTACTTTTTCCTGTTAACCCCTGATATTCTCTTATAGTCACCCGGGTTTAATGTTCAGGATACTATCCATTTCTTGGGAGCTTTATTCTTTCATAGTATTTTGACATTCTTTTACTATTCACGATAAAAATCCCCCCAACTCATTCTGAACTATTCCTCTGATGAACTCTCTACCATAAGTAGTTTTGTACTACGTGTAGTAGAAAACTTCTTAATCACTGTGATATATTCATATTTAGGCTTGGGAATCACAATTTTCTCAAAATCTGTCAGTTCAGACTCGCTTTTTGGGAAGAGATTTGGATACAAATGAGGCATGGAGAAATTTGTATTGTAGAAGGATAAACTGAGGAGATAAATTGGATTACCTGGTGGCTCAGACAGTAAAGAATCTGCCTGCAATGCTAGAGACCCTGGTTAGATCCCTGGGTCAGGAAGATCCCCTGGAGAAGAGAATGGCTACCCACTCCAGTATTCTTGCCTGGAGAATTCCATGGTCAGAGGAGCATGGTGGACTATAGTCCATGGGATCACAAAAAGAGTCAGACACGACTAAGCAAATATACATATATTTAAACTAAACAGTATTTAAAAAATACAAGACAGTGCATCTAGATACTTACTACTACAGTTAATCTGAGAAGGAAAAGATTAAGTCTATTTGAGTGAGTTTTGAAAAGCTTTATCATGAATATGATTTTGATTGTGTGGCTTTCTCGATACAGATGGAGTACTCATTCGATATGATTTGTATGAGGAATGATGAGAATTTCAGTGTGGGCAGAAGAAATGTTTCCTCTGAGGAAGGTTATCCATCAGAGGCTGAGAAAGATGGGTCCTGATTTTAAAAGACTTCACTAGTCAGATTTCGCAGATTTGATTTACCCTTTAAGTACTGAGACAGTAGAGAACACATAGATTTGATCAGCAAGGCAGTAGAATCATCAAAATGTAACCTTTTCCTTTAAAATTGTGCAGGTTTAGCAAGACACTGAGGGTTATTCCAGAAATTGTAGGGGACATCCAAGTGGAAGATAGGTATCATGTCTGATTGTTTCTGTTTGTCTCACTGGTTGTGCTTTTGAGTCATTTTGTAATTGGTGGCTGATGACAGTTCATCAAAGGTCATGAGGAAGTGATGATTACATTAACTCCAGGGCCCAATGGAAAGTCAAATGTTTCATAATAGTCTCAAACAGCCAAATTCTAATGCAAATAATTATTGCCCATATAACTAAAATGCCTTCAATGCCTCAACAGAATATACCTTTCTAACACTGACTAGTCATGTAGGATATCAATGTGGGTCTTACCTGAGGGACTTAAGAGGACTTTAGTTTCTCAAGATCTAAGATATGGAGAAATTTTGATTAGGCATAGGGAAATGGCAACCCAGTCCAGTATCCCTGTCTGGAAAATCCCATGAACAGAGGAGCCTAGTGGGCTACAATCCATGGGGTCGCAAAAAGTTGGCATGACTTAGTGACTGAGCATGCATGCAAGGGAGAAATGAACTTTGGATGAGTTGAAGATTCAAAATTGACCTGTTTCAACTTTTTAATGACTGAAAGTGGTTCAGGCCTTTGGAATGGAGGAGGGTGTTCTGTCACCCTAAGGAATGAATGTTTCCCTGTTGCACTCTTGAGTTGCTTTTGTTCTTTTCTTCTTTTGTAAGGGAAACTTTCAGATACTTTTCTGACTAATTAAAACTCTCTACAGAGGAATTAATTCAGGTTGAACCTGTGCTTGGGTAAAAAATTAAAAAAAAAAAACACATAGATTTTTTACTTGAAAGTAAAAAGAAAACCATAATAGACTAAAATAGGAATGGCTTAGTCCAGCTAACCTGCTTGTTCTCCATGCCCTCTTAAAACTAGCTGTGCTACATCAGTGATTTCCCCTCAAGGAAAAGTTTCCTTCTGAATATTTGTACTTCTGATGTGCCTTTCTTTCTGGCCAACTTGACTTTCCTTTAAGAATTTTCCAGTTTGTTGTGATCCACACAGTCAAAGGCTTTGGCATAGACAATTAAGCAGAAAAGGATGTTTTTCTGGAACTCTCTTGACCTGACTCTTGAGAAATCTGTATGCAGATCAGGAAGCAACAGCTAGAATTGGATATGGAACAACAGACTGGATCCAAATAGGGAAAGGAGTACGTCAAGGCTGTATACTCTCACCCTGCTTATTTAACTTATATGCAGAGTACATCATGAGAACAATGGGCTGGATGAAGCACAAGCTGGAATCAAGATTGCCAGGAGAAATATCAATAACCTCAGATATGCAGATGATACCACCCTTATCGCAGAAATTGAAAAAGAACTAAAGAACGTCTTGGTGAAAGTGAAAGAGGAGAGTGAAAAAGTTGGCCTAAAACTCAACAGTGGATGAGATGGTTGGTTGGCATCACCGACTCAATGGACATGAATTTGAGTAAACTCCGGGAGTTGGTGATGGACAGGGACACCTGGCGTGCTACAGTCCATGGGGTCTCAAAGAGTCGGACACAACTGAGTGACTGAACTGATACAGATTCTGACTTTCCTAACGGCTCATTTCGTAGCTTTCTGTTGGTGCTCACTGACCTTCTCAGACACGCGTTATATAATGACTGCTTCCGTGCTGCCAGAGAACTTGATTCATCTCCTGGTCATCGTTTTAAATCACGTTTGAGCTATTTGTTAGGTTTTTCGGCCTCTTCCTAGACTATACTCCTCTGGCCAGGAACAACATTGTTACCATACACTAACCTAACAGTGCAAGGCTACTTGGATTGTGTTAGTTTTTCAACAAATGCTAAGTAATGGGAAAGGTTAACAGTCAGTACCTCCTGAATCTTGGGTATCTGCCTTCATGACATGTTTGTATCACCTTTTGTCTTGCAGAGGATCAAATTCCCCGGGGCTTCCCTACTATTGATATGGGCCCACAGCTGAAGGTGGTTGAGCGTACACGCACCGCCACCATGCTCTGTGCAGCCAGTGGGAATCCGGATCCAGAAATCACTTGGTTCAAAGATTTCTTACCCGTCGATACAAGCAACAACAATGGCCGTATTAAGCAGTTACGATCAGGTAGGGTCTTGTTACTGTTTCCATGATCTCCTAGAGAATTTTAATTTTTCTTTTTAGTTTTCTCTCTATTTTTATTTTAATTTTATTTATTTTTATTTTTTAGGTATTAATTTTTCTCCCTCTTCTCTTTCTCTGTTATTTAATGTGTTGTCCACGTCTGTGATGTCATAGCCTGTTTCAGAGTCTGTCTTTCTTCTCTTCTCCGTGTTTTGCAGCTTCTGTTTAATCCACATTGCTCACTGCTGTGACTGTATTTTTGATAATTTTTTTTTAGTTTACTGCTCTTCTGCAGTATTTGATGGATCCATTTTCTCCTGTTTCTTTCTATTTCTCTGTTTTCTTTTGAAACAAATTTATTTCAACATTGGACTTCATTCAAAACTTGTAAGGAGTTCCAATGGTTATATCCATTAAAAATCAAAAATGTTCATATTAAACCCTGAAATGATTCCGTTTTATTAAAGTGTGTTTCTCTGTCTTTTCTACATTTTAACTCATCACACTACCAAAGTTTAATAAGTGTGGGCTCATCTACTTTCTCTTCAGTAATACATAAAACACAGAACTGTTATCTCATAAGTATCCAGATGTATTTTTTGTCAAGTCCTTTACAAAGTACCAATGAAAGGAGGGGATTTTTATTAATCTTATTGTAATGTTATTATGAGTGAGTATTCTGTACACATTGCCACAGTAGTGTGCGCCCGCACTAAAGGTTTGTGAACCCTCCAGTGACTGGATGTACAGAAGTCTGCTTTTGGTTGGTGTAGACTCCAGCTTTTGCTTCTCTTGCTCTCTTATCTTTCTCTCTTGCTACCTGTTGCCCTTCCTCCCTCTCCCATCCCCACCCCAAGTTTATTCATTTGCTCTCTTTAGACTAAAAGTAGAGATAATTCTAAATCTGTTCATTTTTAGAGCCTGTCCCTAGGTAATCTCACAGGGATGTGTACTAGTAAGCTGTTTATTTTGGCATGGGTAGTAATATTGATAATATAATTCTAAGTTGTTTAACTGCCTGTCTTCCCAGAATTCTCAGCTTTTGACCTGTCCTGTGATGTTAAAGCGTCTTGTTAACTTGCCTCTTTTGCTTGTTGTCAGCAGAACTGTGTAGATTAGCATTCTGTTATTGTAAATAAAGAATTAATTATTCACCTGTAACATAGATGATTTAGTATTATAAAGCTTTAACTCTGAAAAATTTGTACCAAATTATAAGGAATATAATAATATTTTTATGCTGTCTTTCTTCTCTCCGTATTTAAATCTCCAGAATCTATTGGTAAGTGCTTAGTTCTGAAGCGCACTTCACCCCCACTAATTTCCATATTCAGATTACTATTATTATTATTATTAATAAAATGCATGGCATGCATTTTACTAACTGTCAGTGTAGACACAAGATTTCCTTAGCGGCGTGCACATTCACACATCCACGGAACTGTTATTGTAAGAACACTATGTAGAAAAATAAAATAATACACAAGTTATATCACACAAATGTAGCAATGTAAGTAGTGTAAGATATATCCAGTGAACAGTGTTTGTTTCTAGTTAGTCTTTAGTATTTCCTATAACAGTATATATATATGCATATCTATATATATACTTAAATAAATTAGCCAGTATTTTCCCCAGTTATGTCTTTAAAAATATTGTTTAGTTCTTTTTTTTTTTTTAATATGAGGCATATAAGATATAATTCTAACCCTGTATAATCCCAGACCTAAGAACTCATTTGCTTCTCTGATAAAGGCAATGCTGCCTATTGTGGTCTTTGCCCTCTGTGGTATAATGCAACTTGCTTTTATGATCTAATAATACTATCTAATATATTCCTGTTTTACCAGTATAGTAATTCAAGTTTCTTTTAAGACCTTATTTAATTCTGTAAATCTAATTTAATTCTTCTCCCCAGCCCTAGCCTCCTTCTTCTCGTACTAATGCTTCTTCTTTCTAATCTTATTTGCATTCATATTATCCACCCAGGTGGTACACCAATAAGAGGTAAGAGTGCTGAACTAACGTTCACAGAATGATCTTGCTCATTCTTTCTGTCCTTTCATCACTCTCATCTTTGTCCTGTTTTCAAAATCATTCCAATAATGTCCATCAACTTTATAATTTTCCTTTGTACTGTTTGGTTATGGTGACTCTCATCTTGTGAGTTTTTCTTTTCTTTTTCCTTTTTCTCTTTGTTTTGTTCATTTCTTTCTTTATGAAAATGATTCTTTAAGTTGTGATATGCTTCAAAGAAAGCATATCCAGGTCTTTAGACCACAGACCAGTCACAGCGTACCATCTGTCCCTCTTTTTTTCCTTTTCTTCTTCTTCCTTTTTCCTTTTTTTCTTTTTCTTTTTTCTTCTTTTTCCTTTTTTTTTGTCCAACTGGAGAAAAAAAAAAAAGATCATTTTTTTTCTTCCTTAGCTGTTCTTGTTCTGGACCAAAGTCAAGATGGTCTGGAGAACAGTGGCAGACATGCAGAAGACAGCCTGGAACACCTGCTTTTTGTCTTTATCTTTCAAAAGGTTTTTGCTTTTGTTCTTCAATTCTTTTTTCTCTTACTGTCTTAAAAGTCAAAGAATGACTCCCCCTTCCACCTGATCACACTCGCCTACAACCTGACAACAGTGCTTTTTTCCCCTCCCACTTCTTTTTTTCTTGGATTACTCGCCTCTGGATTTTTCGAACTTCTGTCCTTCAGGCTCTGGAGACAAAAGGTGCTGAGTATTCTTGGTGGTATGTGGTATTGATGGTTTTTCAGACTTTGACTCAGTGTGCATTTCTTTTATAATTCTTGTTTTGTATTTTTCTTGGGGTTTTGTGACACCACACTGCTAATCCCACTGGTGGATTTTGATGGGTGTCTTAGGGGATCCGTCTCGAGGTCCTCAAGCAGTGGTTGGTTGGCTCTCCGGGCTGGCATAGGCCGTGCTTTTTAACTTTTTTAAAACCTTCTAATTCAATTACTCTTTGTTTTTCAGCAAATGTAATAAATGATTGTAAGTCGTGGCAAACTGGTCTTTCTTTTCTTAAAAAATCTGCATGTCTTAAGGGAGTTTTGTTTCTTTAAGTAATATTTTCATGATATATAATGACTAATTTTAATTTTTTTTGCTTCATGCAGCCTTTTTTGTGCTTGCTGCGTATTTTTGGCTTTCTTCAGCAGAAGACTTTCTTGAAAACCCGGCCTGGTTTTTTTTGAGAGTACCTCTCTTTTGCGCCACTTTTGCTACCAAAATGAAACAAAACAAAAACCAAAAATTAATCTTTTGTTTGATTTAAAAGCCATACTTCCTTGAAGCAGTCTCACCCATCTTCATTTTATTAGTCTAGGAAATAAGCGTATTAATTATGAGTAGAATTCTTGCTTGGGAAAAGATACGTTTTTATTATGCTAGCGTTGATGATGTAAAAAATTTAAAAAAAGAAATAATCTCTGTATGTTTTTCTCATCGCATCATTTCTGTCTGTGCACCTTAGCAAGAGATTGAATCGACGTTGAGCGGATCTTCCTTTGCAGGGCTTTTCATATTGTTAAGAGGTTTAGCTTTCTGCACTGAGAAAGCCTTCTCTGACCATCTCTTTGGCAATATATTTTATATCCATGCAGGAGCCCTTCAGATCGAACAGAGCGAAGAATCTGACCAAGGAAAATATGAGTGTGTTGCCACCAACAGCGCGGGCACTCGCTATTCTGCCCCTGCCAATTTATATGTCAGAGGTAGGAATGACGTAACTGTGGCATCGCGTGTTCATTCAGGCTCGGGGAATTTAGATATCCACAGGGTCTGTGTGATTATGTCAGCATTTAATCAGCTGATGTGCTAATAATGACAGTAGCTGAAGCATTTTAGTGGGTAGAGAGAATTAAATATTTTAAATACATGGTTAAAAAAAGTGGACCACTCTTGAGTAAAATCTATCCTGAGGCTTGAAGTTTGTAAGTATATTTGCATTTTGACATCTTGATTATTATTTTAAGTGCATTGATTGAACTGTGTTTTGCATTGGTTTGAGGTTTTCTTTTCCTTCTCCTTTTTTTCTGTTGCTGTTACTCTTCTGTTTCCTTATCAAACCCTGAGATAATTGCTTGGTGTGCCACTAATCAGTTCTCTGTGCAATTCCAAGCATAAAGGTGTTTATGTCTTCATGACCTCTGCTACAAAGTTGTAAGGATATAACTGTTAACTTATAAAAAAAGAAATAGGTGCTACATGCAAGTAGCACAGTTGTATTGTCTTTTTCTTTTTTATAATTATTTATAAACACATAGTATTATGTGCATATGCCTATGCGTATATATACACAAACACACTTTTTTTGTAAAATTATTCACATTCTGAAAAGTTTAATCTCTTGATTGCCAGGGAACAGTGATTGTATTTTAAATCATGATATCATTGTCCTTGGGAGAAGCATGAATGAGGATACATCCATATTTTCTTAAAAGCATTAGAAATGATTAAATTTTAAGCTTATGAATGGCTGTTCCTTTCATTTCAACTAGAAAGAAGTACCTCTTCTTCCCTGGAGTTCTCAAAGCTGTTTCCTGTACTTTTATTGTCCAATGAAAGCGCTCTTATTCCTGTTCTCCATGTCTATGAATAACCACAAAAGGTGTGGGTGGGGGGCGGGGATATGTAAAAGACAGAAAAGGCTCTAAGTTACAATAAAATGAGTTCCCTTAGGAAAATACCTAGCTTGATTTTGAAATTTTTGTTTGAGATAATTTTGTTTCCTTGGGGATGTTTTTCTCTCTTGTCATTCTCTGGAGTGTGGGGTGGGAGAATATGAAGAAAAACTTTCTTCT